ACTTGTCTTCAATGTAAATATGTGCGTACGGTTTTCAGCAATGGCCGTACGCAAACGGCTGGGTGATATTGACAAATAAAGGTCGGTGCTTTATCAAAAATATGTTGTGTGTTGAATGCAGTCTATAATTATCTAACGTATGACTTTCTTCACATTTATATTTTTCGGTTAAAATAAACGATTCCAACGTATAAAAAAGGTGAGGGTAACTTTATCTATAAGTTTTATCACAATTTCCCGTTGTTTATGATATTCTCCACTCAAACGCAAGGCGAGGCTTCCCGAGTAGCTGGTAACAATCTTATGAAAAACTTCGACGTACACTAATCGAAATAATTTGGAAGGAATCATACAATTTAAAAACGTGTACTTTTTAAAACGTTCAATCCAGTCAAAATTGGTTTGAATATATGATACATTTTAGAAACTATTACAAAATATTGGATTTAAAACTATGATTTTTTTTATGAAAAAGATATCTTTTTGAATTTAATCACCGAAGCTCAAAGTAGCAAATCTCGGTATGCTTGGAGCTGCCTTTTCGGAAAGAGCAGGCTAGACCAACATTAGGTTAAACAACTTAAGTGTATTCACTTATTTTATTTCAAATAACAAATACTCAAAACTAAAAATCTGTATATGCTTTTGATATGTAGTGAAAAGATAAGGTTGACAATTTTCTATGTGAATTGATTTCTTTTTATACTTCAATTCAATATTTCATTAACGTCTAATATGTTAACAACTGATCATAATAAATGAGATTTACAAGTATTGAAATCGAATTTGCGAATGTTCACTACATTTTAAAGGGAAGATACTAACGCCTATACTTAAGTTGTCTTTTTTATATTGTTCATTGGTCTCCTTTTTCTCACGATTATCTTAATCTAAGAAGTTACTTACTACCGAATTAGACTTATCACCGGGTGTGTACTTACATGAGCAACACGACGGGTGCCTCTTGTGGAGCAGTATCTGCTTACCCTTCCGGAGCACCTGAGATCACCCCCAGTTTTTGGTGGGGTTCATGTTGCTCAGTCTTTAGTTTTCTATGTTGTGTTTTGTGTACTGTTGATGTCCGGTTGTCTTTTTTTTTAGCCATGACGTTGTCAGTTTATTTTCGACTTATAAGTTTGAATGTTCCTTTGGTATCGTTCGTCTCTCTTTTGATGTCTAAATGCCAAGTAGCAGAAAGGAATAAGACAATATTCAGTTATATGAATATAATTTTTCATTCGATTTGTTCCTTGCTTAGTAATTATTTGTGACACATTCTTTTGGAGAGATGAGTCTAAAAACCTATTATGGCTTGAAACATTGTGAATTGACAATGACAATCGTATACTAGGTGTATAAGGCTAAATTGAAGATAGTTATCGAACTATTTTATCCTATAGGATGGCAATAGTGATTATGAGCAGCACGCAAACGTGTAGACAAGAAAAAATAATACTGATGCTTTTTCACGTTCAAAATCATTTTCATTATTCTAAGTTAATATATCGAGCTTATTTGTAAAATATGATCAGACATATCTGATAGTAAAACCAGCGATAGACGGATATAACAAAGTGCGGTCAGATGCTTTACAAGGCTATTATATCCATAGTAAACGTTATTTGACTCCCTCCCCTACTAGGTAAGTTACTGAAATGTCCTTTATCTATCGAATTTGATTTTCGGAAGATTATTGACTATTAATCTCTGAAAAAAAGAGTATACACGTTGCTGTTATCAGCAAATACAGAATAAATTTAAAAGTATCACTTCGAAAGATTTAAAATTCTTTTCGAGAAAACAGAAGCCCCGGAAATTTACCTATTTTTACCAAATTGAAAGAAGGAACATGGCTTGAGATTTTGAATGTTCATACCGATAATTTACATGGAAAAACGTTGAGAAGCACCGAAAATTTACATCGGAAAACCTTGATAAGAACCGTTGATTTACATGGGATAACCTTGAGAAGAAACAATAATTAGTAGCCTTTCTCCTCTTCGCGTCTAATGTCGAGCAGTGCGTCAGGATCCCAGGCTAATAATTTAGATGAACCTTGAGAAGTACCGATAATTTACATGGGAAAACCTTGAGAAGTACCAATAATTTACATGGGAAAACCTTGAGAAGTACCGATAATTTACATGGGAAAACCTTGAGAAGTACCAATAATTTACATTTACAAAACCCTCATTTAAACAGAATAACTGAAAACGTAGGGAATATAATGTCAATGAGACAGCAACCTAACGAAACAAAAACCAAATAGAGGTAAAAAAAAAACAATAGACAGGTGTTTATACAATAGTTCATTTGATATTGGTAAATTGTATTCAGATAAATAGACCACAGTTTGGTTTTGGTTAATTGTATTCAGGTAAATAGACCACAGTTTGGTATTGGTTAATTGTATTCAGGTAAATAGACCACAGTTTTACCCAAGTTCACAGTTTGTCATATTCACATAACTTGCCAACATTTTTGCTGAGGCAATACATAGGTTTTTTTTATTATATAGTGTCTATTTGAATATAATTTTATTTTGGATTTTACACGTCTTCTAATTGGATGGAAGTTTTTTGTCTATCATCTCATAGACATAATTTTGTTATGTGGCAGTGATTTTTTTCATGATTTACTCCTTAAAAATGGAATTTAGAATTAAATTATCAGGAAAGACTGTAATATTTTTTCTGTCTATTCGAAATAACATAAAAAATGTGGTGCACACTTATAAATAACTCGCTACGCGGGTTATTCAGTGTGCACCACATGTTTGATGTTATTTCGAATAGACAGAAACAAATATTACAGTTATTCCTTAAAGAACTCGCAAACAGCTGTAACAGACCTATGTATGATATATTATGAAGTAACGTTTAATGACAAAATAAGAAAAATGTTGTTTACAATTCATATGACTTAGTATCGTCTTATCAAAGATTTGGAAAACGTTACACTTACCTGTATAAACAATTTAACAATGACACTATTGAAATATCATAAGAAAATAAAACATTAAATGCTGCTTATAACATCTTAACATAATTCGGTTAAACTGTTTATAACAGAGGTAAATATTTGTCATTTTTGACAGTTGAAGCAAGTATAATGAACTAGCTCAAGGTCCTTAATGTTATCAAGTAGAAAATGAACATAGTGTTCTTTTTTCACTTTCTAATTTTGTATTCTGTACTCGTTTCTCATGCTTTCAAATTTGACAACTAATTAAATGACAAAATAATTTAATTCCAGTTCAAAATAACTCATTGAACTAATTAGTTTATCTGAATTCAAGTTGAAACAATCAATTTATCTTTTGATATGAGTCGATTTTATGAAGTACTGTTTTCTTAGTATGATTGTCTAAGTAATAATTAAGAAGAAATTAACAGAAAAGGGGCAATCTAAAAATTATCAGCGGACTAAATGTTGTCAAAAGAAAGAGAAAGACGACGGCCGAATAATAGTCCACAAAACACTAAACATATTAATACTAAAAACGCAAGTAAAACAATATTTCTGCCTGAGCTAATAACAGACACCAGATACTAAAAGATATTAAATTATAAAAATGGTGAAGAAATTTACTAAACTAAATGTCGGTATCAACATAAAAGGACCAGAACTAGAGCAAGTCGAGCGCTAATCACACTGAGGTGATCAAACTGGACTACAAATATGAAACGAATTGAACAAACCGCAGAAAGAAGACGACAATTGCATTGAATTATTCAATTTATTATTACTAAAACAAACTATACCTGTAGATTTTAAATCGCAGTGATTGATGAAACACGCAAAACACGTTGGTTGTCCCATAAAATCATAAATAAAATGTATGTATTAAAGATGAGGTTAATTCAACCAGCATATAGCATGCAATGATCGCCACATGAAAGCATAGTCGTTTTGTTTCTAAAAAACTGGGTTTCAATGTGTATAGTCTAATCATTACTTTGTTCTAAATTAATATGAAAACAAGGAAAAGTTGAGCTGTTTCTTTTAAGATTTTAATCAATACTAGTGAATTAACTCTGTTCTATCAAAGATAATCATTTTGTTACATTTCCGTTTTTTTTAAAGAAAATCTTTTATAGTATATTAAATATCAGATACACTTTGCATGACGGATATCCTACCTGCAGGGGGAAGGTTTTAATAAAAAAAAGTCATTTGTGCCATATTTCCTTTGTAATTTATTTCACCAATACATTCAGGTATCATTCAAACGTAATTTGACGGAATCTCAATGGTTGGAAATTATTTGTGTTGTACATCATGAAATGTCATGCATATCATTATATTTCATCAGTTGCTTGTAAAAACAGTATTCAAAACGTTAACCTATATTAAGCATAAACGATTTATTCAAAGTCGGTTATACATAAAACAATACAACGTAGGCTCTTTATTAACCAATTGATAAATATATGTGTGTGATTGATAATTTGAAAAGACATTTGGATTCTTTAATGTTATGATACGGTTTAAAATTGAAGGGTTTTCATATATATTCCAATATACAGTATTACCATTTTCTGAAAATACCAAAAACATTCTAAATATTTTCATCGGTGAAACATAACTACGAAAACATACATTGGTTTCACAATTATTTTTATAAAAAAAAGAACAGAGAGTGTCTGCTTGGTTTCAACGTAATTTGATTTGTATGAAAAGATTTTGGGACATACATTTTTTTTTTGCGTTTTGGATAAAAATTTAAACGACATGATTAAGACTTAAACTCTGATTTTTTTTCCAGAATTTGAAATATTATAAATACCTGAAACATTATAATTCAAACAAAATCTATTATTTTGGCTCTAGTTGAAAAAAACACGTTTATACCTTATTGACGAATCTTTAATAACTGTTTCTTTCTCGTTAAACCTCTAGCAACATGTTGTCCTACTTAAAATCATTGTAGGAATAATAATTTTTTGAGATAAACACTGTTATACGTAGGATTTGATAAAAATATAAATTTTACTTACAGAATTTACTTCATTCTTTAAAGATTTCCCATGAATACTAATTAGCATCAAGCATAATATTCCTGGTAGTAAGGTCTTTCTCTTCATCCTAGGACGGAACAATTTTCAAAGATATGTCACTATATACAATGTTTCTCCAAGTAATTAACACTTTGGATTTGTCTTTGGTAATTTTCCCGGAATTGTCGTCTCTTTCCGATATTCGAGAGGGTATTTTATACTCATTATGGACAAACCCACGACACACGTGTTATGGGAGGCGTTATAAAAGTTTGTTTATCTATTGAAGTTTCATCAATAATGTAACAATAGATTGTTCGAACAAATAAATTACTTCCTTTTCAATTTGAACGACAGTAGTTGTCATTTTACTCCATTGTCTGTCATTGGTCAACTTCGGCGTATGAAATATTAAATTATTACTTCGATTATAAACTAGCACATTTTTTTAATAGTACGTTCACTGTAAATTTGTGTAAAATCCAGATAGTACGTTAAATGTCAGAGCATTAAGTCAATTGATAAAATTACTAATAATAACGACTCCATCTCGTTTAACGACTTCTGTTAACAAGCACTTGTTAAGTGATTCGATAGTTTAACTAATTAGTCTCGAGTGATGCTTTGTCATATGTAGACTGTTCTTAAGAGAGGCTGACTATTTCAAATATTTGTTTTTCTAATGTTTCTTATAGTGTGTTGAACATCTTCCAGAAATGAATACAGACAGATAGATTGTTTGCCCAATGCTTAAAAAAAGAAAGAAGAAATTTATGGAATAACCAAAAACCATAAGACTGTGAAGAACAGAAAAATGACAAACAGACAATTGTCCATAATACAAAACTTTAGGTTATTAAAAACCAAATACATTACCAAATTCATATGATGTAATACAACATACATGTACTTTCTTCTCCATAAAAGTTTATAAAGTTTAACTCATTTATCTATTTGTCAGTTTGCACTTGATAACTGACATGTTAAACAGTTAAAGGGAAAACGGTACTATTACATTTTCCCAGCATTAGGTTGGCCTTTTGTGTACCCAAGGCAGGTGAAGGAAGTTAACTTAGGAGCGCTGTGATTGGATGTAAGGGTACAATATATTTTTTTATTTATCTATGAATAACTGCAGTGTGTATATTTACAATATAAAGTTTGAAACCCATTGAAATATTTTCTAGAGAATTATTCGAAAAGACTTCCAAAATTTCATAAATTTAATGTAAAATGACGGTGGGCATGGATAACATAAACAAGCTCCGTTGGAAGTTGGTCATGATACTATTTGGTTTCAATTTTTAAAACAGAGTAATAAAGTACTAACACCACACATAACTGTTTTGTCCAGGTTTTTATTATAGAAAGTGGTAAATTTGGAAAATGTTAGTATTGTCGCCTATGGCAGAATACATAGTACCGTTTTCCCTAAAACTGTCCACTGTATGGTGATATCCGGTTAAATTTAATCATGTCGTTAATTTTCCAAATTTCAACTGCTGAAAAAAGAATTGTATGTAAGATACTATAATATCAACATAGATTCTTTTACATCTTTAATTAGCAGGTAAAATAAATGTAAACCCAATGTGTGTGTTATTTCAGGTATAACCCTGGCATTAATCAAATTAATAATATGTATTCGCTATATTACGCTGCCGAAAAAACATTACGGTCTCTCTTACGTTTTAAAGATATAGTTGCGATCAAAATGGAAACAAAGCTTGGATAAATTAATTAAAATTTTGTAAAAAGCTAGTAAATCAAATATGAATTAAACGAGGTGTGTGGTATATGTCAATTCCACAGCAACCAAATATGAATTAAACGAGGTGTATGGTGTATGTCAATTCGACAGAAACCCAACTACATAAAAAACAACGAGACATACAATGTAGATGTTAACATTGTTTTAGTTGTTTGGCACTGTGAATTTTATCTTGTTATCTTTGTCTATAAATGAAAACGAGTTCACTAATTTTACGTTTCACGAGCGGAATTTGTGATTTACTGACATAATCGGTATATTTACAGATCAGACACTAAGTCTTGTTCTGGTATCTATAGATCTAAGACCACGAAAACAAGTCGCTAGTGAGTTGAGACCTATATTCATCGTATCAGTCAATTAATTCGTGATGGTTATCTTTAAACGTTGCATTGGTTGCGTCGATTTCTGTCGTTGTTCCTCGTCACTCTGTTGGGGCAGATTTTGTGTAAGGAGCACTCCCCTCAATTACCTTATTTACTTCCTAAAGCGTAACATTCATGGTAAATTTATTGATATCATGTGTAAGGAGCACTGCCCTCAATTACCTTAATTACTTCTTAAGGCGTAACATTCATGGTAAATTTATTGATATCATGTGTAAGCAGCACTCCCTCAATTACCTTATTTACTTCCTAAAGCGTAACATTCATGGTAAATTTATTGATATCATGTGTAAGGAGCACTCCCTCAATTACCTTAATTACTTCCTAAAGCGTAACATTCATGGTAAATTTATTCATATCATGTGATCCTCATAATAAATTGTCATAGTTGTCTGAATGAATTGTTTTATCGAGGAGGTAAAAAAGTAAGTAAATAGTGTATTAAAGTGTCATATATTGGTTGACATAAAAATAAGCAACATTATATATAAATATATTGTGTAAACGTGAAAAATCTGATAAAAAATCTCTAGACAGTTATTTGAATAAAATTATGAATACTGTTGATATTCGTATATCTCATTTTGAAAACAATTCTGAGGAAATTAATAATAGGTTTCATGATATACCCATTTCTAGAATGAAAAAAACAACCTCAAGTAACCGCAAAGCGGTTTGTGTTCATACCAGCAGACAAAGCAGCTAATAATGTAGTGGTGGTGTGACGCATATACTACACGGAAATTCTCCAAAACAAAATTATCAATTCTTCTACATTCAGGTCCGTACGCTCTACAGAGAGTCAAATTGTGAACAAATATATCATTGTGAACATTTAAAAGTTCCGACTATGCACTGGTGACCTAAATTACACAAACAACCATTTACATTTCGATTCATCTCTGCATCTAGTAAGTGTTCTACTACTAATCTGTCAGTGCTTCTAACTACCTCCCTTACTACTATCAAAGAACTTGTTATCAACTTTTGTAATAAAGTTTATGAAAATAATGGTATTAATCATTTTTGGAGTGTTAAATGCAAATCACACATTTTATGCCCGTTTATGTGAAATTTTTTAATATGATTTTTGATTCTGGTACATTGCCTGAAATATGGCTCATGGGAAATATTATACCTTTTTATAGAAACAAGGGTGATCATGGTGATCCCCAGAATTATAGGCCAATTACTATACTTAGCTGTTCACCTCTGTCTTAAATTTTAGATTGAGTTCTTTCTTAGAGGATTATTCATTATTAAATGAAAACCAGGCGGGCTTCAGGAAAGGTTATTCCACAGTGGACAATATATTTGTTATACATATATTATTTGAGTTGCTAAAGAGAAAAAGAAGAAACTTTATTGTTCATTCGTGGACTTTGCGGAAGCTTTTGATACTGTTTGGCAGTCTGGTCTCTGGTCAAAACTATTAAAACATTCGATTAACAGAAAGATGTATAACGTCATTGTCAACATGTACAAGAATAACAAATCACGTATTCACTTTGGATCACTCAGATTTTTCGGATTTTTTCCCTTGTTCCATTGGAGTTAGGCAGGGAGAGAACATCTCTCCTTTGCTTTTTTCTATTTATCTTAATGATCTTGAATTGTTTTTACAGAATAATAATATAGAAGGTTTGTGCACTATCTCTGATAAGTTAGAAATAGAGTTAAATGTTTATTTAAAATTGTGTGTCCTTTTGTACGCTGATGATACTGTCTTAATGGCAGAATCTCAGATGGATTTACAAAGACAACTGGACTCCTTATATGAATATTGTGAGTTATGGAAACTTAGAGTAAATGTGCAAAAGAGTAAGATTGTAATTTTTCACAAGGTAGACTTCCACAGAATATTGCTTTTAAGTATGATATTAGATATTGTCAGTGAATTTACTTATCTTGGTGTATTACTGTCTAGGTCAGGAAATTTTTCCAGCGCTAAAAAAAGAGGTGTGAAAAGCAACTCTGGCTATGTACGATATTATTCGAAAAGGAAGAGTACATAATCTGTCAATTGAATGCCAACTTGATTTATTCGATAAAATTGTCAAACCAATACTTCTGTATGGTCTGAATTTTGGGGTTTTGGAAATAATTCAATAATCGAAAGGGTTCATATTAAATTTTGAAAATATTACTTGGAGTAAAAAAGTCTACTCCTGATTTTATGATCTATGGTGAATTGGGAAGATATCCATTAGAAATTACAGTCAAATTACGAATGATTAATTATGGGTTTAAGTTGGTAACTGGAAAACCTGACAAACTACCTTTTAATTTGTATAATTTAGCCAGTGCAAAATATGGTACAAATATTTTATAGTTAAAACAAGTCAAATCAATTTTAGACACGTGTGGCTTGTCATATGTATGGAACAACATCTTTTGTGTTAACAAAACATGGCTACATGTAACCATTAAACAGAACTTAGTAGATCAGTTCAAACAAAATTGGCTAGCAAGCCTACAGAAATCACCAAAAGCATTAAATTATCGTTTATTTAAGGATACTTTGAAGTTTGAGAAATATTTTAGTATTTTGGATGATTTAGATATCTTTATTTTTAAAATTTCGAACTCTGAACATGAAATTTCCAATCGAAACTGGAAGATGGCAAAACTTAGATAGAGAAAACAGAAAGTGTGTATTGTGTAATTTAGATGCCATTGGTGATGAATACCATTACATTTTTAATTGTTCAGCTTTTGATAACTGTAGAAAACAATGTATTACATTTCATTATAGAAATATACCTAACACGTGGAAGTTTTATGACTTAATGAAATCCAAAACATTTTCAGAACTGAATGAGCTGTGTAAACTTATTAAGGAGATCAATAACAAATTGAACTTTTCTGGTTGAACAATTGTAAATGCCTCTATCTACTTTCGTACATTATTTATTTATGTAATTGTATTGAAATATGTATAACTATCTCTATACCGTTGTAATTTGGTTTGTAAGAATAAAGATATAAAGATAGAATACGTGCTTCTGATGGTCCTTTTAATTCTATTGACAGTTATGATTTTTCTACTCTCTACACTCCACTTCAACAAAATCTTATCAAGAAAAAGTTTTCATATTCAAATAAATGGTCTTCTGAAAAATCTCATTGCAAATTTATTTGCTGTAACTCTTTTTAAGCCTTTTTCTGTAACGAAAAAGAAAAGAATGCTAGATACACTTACTGGAAATGTGAAGATATGTTTGAAGCTTTAAATTTTCTCCTTGACAGCATATATGTACGTTTCGGCGATAAAGTGTATCGACAGGTAGAAGGTATTCATATGGGCACTAATT